CATGCCCATATTCCTTACTCACTAAGCCATGACCTACTCTTTCTGACAATTCTAAAATATAACATGGCTAATACTCGGAATGTTAAGAGAAAGTATGAATGATTATATGTCTCTCTAACAAGATCAAGTGCTTAACGCTTAAGTTAATTAAATGTTATGGACAGAAAAATCTCTTGTCACCGTGAAGTGTCTGGATAAAACTAAAGTTATATGAGCATGCACTGGAAGGTTTTCTTACATTATAGAATCTTCATAATATAAAAGATAGGTGTTAATCCAGTTATGTCAGAGTCCGGGGAAATTGGAGCTCTAGAACTTCACTGTGGATTGACAATTGTTGCAGCAAACTCTTGTCATTTCATGATCTCTATGATGTTTTGAATGTTAAAACATTTAACTGTGAACTTGCATTTGCATTTTTGGCCTTGTGCCTGCTTCTAAGACTGACCATTCAAATCCACATCATAATTGACAGGTCCAATGAAGCTCGTATAATGTATGAGAAGCTTCAGTCTCATCCTAATGGTCAAGTGAGCAAGAAAGCAAGGCAATTCATGTTCAGTTTTCAGGTAATAGTTAGCTATTCAGGGAGTACAAGTTGTGCATCAAACTAGAGGGTAAAGAACCATCGAAAGTTGAAGTTTAAAGCACACTTGATTTCAGCCAGGAATTTATACAAAATGATTAAAAAACAATGCTATTATGTCATAGTTGGCATCTGAACCTGTGGCCTAAAGTAACTTTTGAACCGCCTTTACTACTAAACTAGAATTTCCCTTTTGTCGAGAGAATTCGACATCAAAAAGATATTGTTAATTGCTCTACTTGCGTAGTAGAATTTTCCTACGAAGGGGATACAATTGAACCCCCTTCCCGTCACCGAGATAACATTGAAGCTCTCAGTATATCAGAATTGGACCATTGGCTTTTGGTTGGATCTTTTATAAGCTGGAAATTCATATATTTGAAATCCTTGATAAGGAAAATGTTTGGTATGAGTACTCAAATTGTTTGTCTTAATTGATGGCAGGCCATGGAAATGATGAAGGTAACTGGCTCAACATTCTCTTCAATGAATCTTGGCTATCAGAATTATTTCAACGCCTTTATTAGGGATAAAGTAAACTATTCTTTAAAAGAGGATGAATCTGAAGAAGGTGCAATCCGACAGGCAATCCCTTACATTATATTTCTTCTTTTCCCTATTTTTATTGTGTTACTAATTGCTCTACGAAAAGGTGTATAAACTTTGTATTTCACATGCTTAAATAGCTAGGTAGTCTTGGAACTTCATCATTCGTTTGATCTTAACCTTCACATCAAAGGGTGAAACCTAATTTATATGCTATTTTGGAACTTCTATTTTGTAAAATATTTATATAAGTGAAATACATTCGATGAAAGACCAATTACTATTATATTTGCCACTTTACTTAAAAATGATTACCACTGTGATAAGTATTGATGATACTATGATAGTGAACCAAAGTTCCACCATGAGTTTAGAAATTCCTTTCATGTAACCTAGTTTTTATGTAGAAAAACTTGACCCGCCCAACCTGCCCAAGGTGGGGCGATCATTGACCCACCCGTTTATTGAAATCAACCAATCTTGACTCACAACATCGCAACTCATCTAAAATTGGGATGTTTTTTAGCCCAAAAGCGATCCATGAGTAACTTTAACAAAATATCTTACAAACAATTTTTTTTTGTTTGATATGTTATATACGATCATAACAAAAGAAAAAAAATCTTATTTGTTAATTAAACAATTCATAAGAAAATAACACACATTAATTAAAGCATGATAAATGTTAGGCTTGTTGGGCTATGTCCCAAGTTTTAGTCATTCATCTCAGATCAATTAACTTTTGAAGAGTTTATTCACCCGCCCATTTATTGACTTAGCCCGCCTAAAATCAGTCCAATCCGCCCATTTTACACTCCTAAATTTAACTGATACTTGTAGTTGTTTTAAAGTCATCACTTGCACACAATTATTGATACTTAACGCGAGATAACTGATTATCCGCAATTGATGATTACATCAAACAATATATTTTAGCTTTAGCAATTAAAAATAAAAATAAAAATACATATTACTTAATTATAATTAAGAGAGAAGTGTGCGTTCCATTGAACTTGTATTTTACGTTCATTAATTTGGCATAAATACTAAATGCTCGTAATTTTTTACCAATTATATGCAATTAAAAACAAGACAAAAAACTATCTTGAAACAAATGAAAGGAAAAGAAGAAAGAGTAACTCAAAAGTCCAGTCAATTATGCATGCATTTGACAAGACATGACAGCACCATGCTACTTCTATTAGGAAATGACTTCGATTTATATCCACATTTTTCATGGGCGGTACGCAACAAGTTAGGGACAAAAAAAGTGACTACTTATATAATTGAGTTAGCATCACTATCTTATCAAAATACCATAATGAATTACTGTAATCTTAATATTATCAATCACTAGTTTGGAGTAAAATAATGGAAGTTGATACTGTAATTCTTATAGCATTATAGTTTGAACGAAATTAAATTTGCAAATTATTTTTTGTCTTTGTCCTCCCAAAACTAAAGAGATGCTGATATAATAAGTTTATTCTTTTTTTTGGTCTGATAAATACTTCAGTTTGCAAAGCACGGTGACTAAAATACATTTGAAATATATAAACAAAGAATTCAACGTCAACCTTGTGTGTAGATAATTTTAAATTTTTAGATAATATTAAAAAGATTACTGTCTTAGTTTATTTGATTCTTGACAACGAATTATTTAACCTAATTTAAGAGTATGGAAGTCATTTGGCCATCAATTAAGAATACAGTTACAATATGTAAAAGCACTTCAATTAATCGCAAATATTCTTTCAACGAAACCAAATAAGTTTAATTATGTTACGTATAGTCACTTCGTGGAGCCGTTTGATTGGGCAAATAATTTCTATATTTAGCATAGCTAGTACATTGTTTGGTTGCTCAGATAAAAAGAATCAATCTCCTCACTAAAATCAACATAATTTGCACCTCGATTGTTTGTAAATTTGTTTCTTCTTATAAATTACACTCCACTATTATTTTATTCGAGATAAAATATGAAATAGAAAAATGTATATATTAGCAATTCATGAACTAAAACTACTGAAATAACAAAAGATACAATCATCTATTCAAATTCATACGTCTTATAATATCGTCTAACAGAAATAATTCTTATATTATTGAATTACTAATTTTAAATTATATATAAATCTCTACATCATCAATTTCTGCATAACTTGTTTCCGAACTCAACGACTCCTAGATATTCAAGAATAATTCAATGATCAAAATAAAAATATCAAACATGATCATTATTCAAGAAAAAACGTTTAGCACAACTTTTTTTTTCTACCTTAAAGAGAAAGCAAAGAGAAAAGAAGTGCGGAGTGCCTGGAAAAATCTGCTGTACCTAAGACGCTCCTCCTTTAGGTGGGTGGTCCTACAATAGGCAAGCTTTTTGGCCGACCATTAGCTTAATTCATTTTTTGTGACCATTTCCACTAACTTTTTTTTTCCTTTTCAAAAAAGTAAAATAAATATAAGAGCACTTGGATTTTCTATGGTCAACTAAATCACCCTAGAATACAAGATTTGTCTTCTCCATATTCTCATTTCTTTACTTTCCTTTATCTAAT